TATTTTGTTGTACAGTTATTTTATTTTCAACTTTAATTTATATATTTTATTTTATTTTATTCCTTCCTAGTTAAATTTACCCTTTTTAATTTTCATATTTATTTCCTATCTTATTCATAGCCTTTTCTTTTTTTTCTTTAGGTCACGAGCAGTTGTGTAAGCATTTCACTGCATATTGTACTGTGCATGACTGTGTATGTGACAAATAAAATTTGAATTTGAATTTGAATTTGAACTGAAAAGAGAATTAAAATGACAAAAAGCCAAACAGGATTTCCATATTGGAATCAGCAATCAAAAAAACATTGGTTCGTATTTCAATTAAATATGAATATGTTGCTTAACTATAAATGGTTAAGATCTGGTTTGATTTACATCCTTCACACAGCACATTTGTCCAGGCCTTCAGGTAAACATAGAATTAATCTCAGGTAACATGACTCAGAGTAGAGATTCTGTAAGAAAGATTGCTAGCTCTAATATTATTACCACAAAATCCAAGGACACACCAATAGCTCAGATTTCTAGAAGTATTTAAACAAATGTCAGTCTATCCTAATTCTAGCTTAGAATTGAACAAATTTCTTTAAGCTTCAATTTTACCAAATACACTTATCAATTGTCTTATAACTAACAACATTTGTCTAAATCATCTCCAACACCCTGGTGAACAACGGGGAGGAAGCTCACCAAGATTACATGGATCGGTGCTTCCAGGATTTCGTAATGTCGAAGGCTCAGAGTCTTCCCGGGGCAAAACTGAGACACCGTCATTGAAAAGATGTTGCCTGGCAGACTCCCCCGGCACAACATCGCCAGCCGACAAAGATATTGCAGACATCCTAGAGTCAATCAACAAACGATTGTCCAGTTTCGATGCAAGGCTGTCCTTGGTGGAGACTCTACAGCGGGAATTTAAATCCTTGTGAGAATCCCTGGAGTTCAGCCAGCAGCAGGTGGAAAACGCTCGCTGCTGAAAATGCCACGCTAAGGGAGTCATCAAATGTCTCACTGAAAATGTTACAAAGCTAAATAGAGAAAATAAAAAAAATAAAAGAGTTATTGATCTCGCTCGTGGCATACGAGGTAAACTTGTATTTTCTGGTATTCCAGAATCCGCTGGAGACGCGTATGGACTGCCATAATTAAACAATTAAATCAAGGTCGTAGATTTGGCATGGACGGAAGGGACATGTCC